AACTTTGAACCACAAACTTTGAAATAAAAAACAAAAACAACACCGTTTCAGTTCCTCCTTTATCCCCCACTCCAAAAACATCCTACAGGATAAAGAATGGAGAACTCATCTTGAAGCCAATATATATAATATTACACGATTATATTAACCGTGAACACGTAAGGAAATTTTGTGGTTCCTGTTTTGACGTTATAAGCATATTTTGAAACACAACAATTAGGCATTTCCCAAGAATTTACCAGTCCTACTGGTCAAATATGGGTCAGAGGCCATTATCGAACTACCCTCTTCTCTGAGGGTAAAAACGATTGAGAACCAAGTGATAATATTTGATGACAGGCCAATTTTACTCCGTTTACTTTTTAATAGTGGGGAAGTAAAGAGAGCCATAAGTTTTCAAAGGCTTTTAACCACTAAAGTCAGGTGGACATGGGGTGTGTCCAATTCTTGACTATCCCAAACAAATGAACAAATCCCCAAACCAAGGAAACTAACGTTTCAGTCACAGCCATATAGTACCAATCTTTTGCTTTGGAGGGGGGGGGGAACCCTCGTTTACATGAACCCATGTAAAAGTGACAGGGATCATAAACTTCAGCAAAAAGCACATTTTTGGTTTCTCTTAGCCCCACAAGGATGTGTTGCCTGAGCTTAGAAGGGAGGAAAAAAAGAGGTAACACTTACAGAGGCGCTCAGAGGGCTGCCCGCTTCAGAGCACTCAAAACCTCTAGGCCGGGTCGCGGCTCCCACGGGGTCAGAACACTCGTGGTGAGGGCAGGAGGGTGGGGATCTGGTGCCCGCCCAGTGCAGGTGGGTTGGTAGTCGGGAACCTCACTGCCTAGACGCCTGGAGAGCCTGATTCGGGGGGAACAGCCCTTGAACCCAAAGTCCTTGTCATTTCTGGTCGTGACAAAACTCCATAACATGCAGCTTTGAGGGCCCCTTAGCCCACCTCACCTCGGCCTAAAGAGTTCTCGAGTGTATAACCCCTTTTTTCAATGTCTGCTAGTAACTCTCCTCCCAGTTGAGCACCCAGTGCCGCCTTTCGTCTTGGCTTCAAACTAATCCCTCTGCTAACTCCGCATAACGTGTTCGCTCTTGAACCCGCCTCTTGCGCGACCCAAATGGCACTAAGCACTCCAAATTCGTTGGGCATCCAGCCCTTCTGCAAGGAAGCCGCTCTTACGGAAACTACTTGGGACCGGAGAGCAGTAAAGCAATCGCAACGGCAATAAAATGCTGGGTGGTTCCCCCAGCTCCTTTCTTATCCACTTCACTGTCCCGGGCTTATCCCCTCCCCCCGCCGCAGAAACAATCAAACAAAGGCTCAAAAGCCAGGAAATGTTCAATTCACTTCCCTTAGAGTTATTAATTGCCCACAGCCATCGCAAGGAAACTTGGCTGGGTTCAGTGACGAGAGGAGGGCACCCGAGAGCTGCAAACCCCCCCACCTCTACTCCGCGCAGCAGGAAGCCGTTAGCGCCAGCTTGGGCATCCCCCCGAGATCCGGCCTGTTGCCTTTAGGCAGCTGAGCGAGGCTTCGTTCGGGGCCTCGGTGTTTTACTCTTACCTCCCAACATCCTCCTGCTTTTGTTTGGGGCTGAGAGGAGCGTGGGGTTCGGGGTGCAACAGCGAGGTCTGGAAAGAAATTCTCCCCTAAGAACACCTGTTCAGCCTAGAAAGGGCATTTCCACTTATTGCCACGCTGAGACCCCTACACAAGCATCGCCAAAGTGCAGACAAGGGTATGAGTTTCGATTATCAGCCCTGACTGTCAGCACCATCGCGAAAATACAGCACTAAATCCACAGGAGAAGTGGAGCAACGACTTCTATACCCCCTGCCCACCAGTATTATTTTCTTCAAGTCCCTGGAAATTGTTGGTGTTTATTTCGGAAGTGTGATACAGGTCTTTAGAAACGGGATGATTAAGGGGGTGTGATTTGACTCCCAAGTGTCTTGAAAAAGAAACAGCGCACCTGGGTTAGGTAGGTCATCACAACCTAATAAAAAATGCGTCTACGAAAATAAGAAGCTCTTTCTTGTTCTGAAATAAAGAAAGGCAATCCCGGAAATTCACTGACAGCCTTCCTGATGACCATCTAGCTAGGCCTGTTCTCAGGTTTAATTGGCAGGCGGTTTACTGGCGTCTTATTGGTGTTGATGGAATTTTGTTCCCAGTTCTTCCTTTTAAGAATTAGAATCTCAAGTCGGTTTACCTGAGTTAATTATCTTTTTAGGGTCTGGGTTTGGTCATAAATTTGCAAATCTTCATTAAATGCACTGTGTAAATATCCCTCTCTCCAATCGCCACCCAAATCTCTATTATTTTTTTAAGATTCCCTTTTTTAGATGTCCATAAAAAGAAATTGATCAGGGAACTATATCTGAATTAAGACATATTAAATTGATGACAGATACATATCACGCTGTGTTTAACAAGAGTTGTACAAGGAGGCGGGTTCCAGATTCTGCTCGCCTGTGCTGCACCATTATTCACATTTTTACAGCCTCTCCTTCATGCCTTTACTCATTAAACCATTAAATTTCAGCAATTCAATAAAACAAAGCAGTTATAATATTGAGAAAAAGCTATTTTGAAAGGGGTGGAGGTACCCATTTTATTGCACAATAAAAATGCTCAACAGTTCGTATTAAAGGCAATGTTTTGGTTATGTTCTTTTTTTTATTCATCCTTTTTGTTTTGTTTTTACTTATAACCTGCAGGTTTGAATGTAAAGCTGCCATTATGCAAGTACTGACACTCATTGCCTAGGAATTCAAATAAAGGGAACTTATTTGAAGTGTTCTGAGAGGAAATGAAGACAGTGGTGACGATTCCAAATATGATGCTTTCCCCAGAAACCATCCATGGAGATGACACTGCCATTGCTCCACTGTTGCTTGTTTGGCTTGAGATGTTTTGAGTCTTTGAAACAAAATTGTAAAAGGACTTGTCCTCCCTAAATACAGATGTGAATTTTGTCACTGTTATTTAATAAAACATTCGTAATTGTGATGGCACTCATGCCTTTCTTATTTCTTATTTGAATTTCATAAAAATAAAAAAAACTATTTGAAATTTGTAGTACTTTCTTTGTTTGGCTCTCAGTTTTAATTAGAGAAATTACATTCCCTGGGCTAGTAAGTAAGTTCCAGTTAAACATTATTTATACCAATGTAAATGGAGTTAACAGATCAGCTCTTTCAAAAATATTTACCTCTTCCCAGGACCATCTCCCAGATGATGACTTTATGCAGTCTATTTTTACATGGACTGAAAACAAATCAAGCTGATAATGTTTCATTGTATCCCCCCCAAAAAAACCTCATTTTAGCCATTATCATTTTTTTACAGTAATTTTATGCAAGGCAACAAAATAAAAATTAAAAACTCTGACTTTAAATTTTGAGCATCTTGGAACATCAAAAAATTTTACTATGCTTTATTTTTTTAAAGGTGAAGTGAAACTCTGGGACAGTAAGAACCCTAAAGTTTGGGGGATGCCACAATTTTCTGTCCCCTAAAAAGTAATGCAGGAATCTATTTCTCTTTTTAAACTAAGTTGATGGGGAATCGCTTGAAAGATATGGGGTTCATTTTATTAAAAGCCATTTTTTATTATTTTAAAATCAAACACATCTCCTACTATATCAGTTTGTTAGAAAACGATAACAAGGCAGAAATAAACAAATAAATTTATTTATTTACTAATAAATATTAGTAAATATTTATTTACTAATATTCTATTAGTAAACAAATAGGGAAGATATTTGCTTGATTTAAAAATAATTACTTTCTTGGATCAATTCTAATGTGTGGTCCTCTTGAAGAAACTGAGCACATGTTTGAACACCTCTTGAACACATGTGCGTTCTGGACTGGAAGGAAAAATTCTTCTTGAAGGGTATTTACCTAGCTGCTTCCCTCTAGAGACATGCTGTTTGGCCTGCCCTGCCACTGTATCTACCAGAGGCAAAAGTTAAAATCGCTACAAGACGTCCCCCCTCTCCCCCCCCAAAGCCAATCGGAAGTGGCAGATCTAGAACCCGCGAGCAGTGAGACTACATTTCGAGCCAATTCCTTTGAACCGTATTGAAAGGGCCTCCATGAGCTAAAAAGTCGAGGTAAAACGGTTCCTTTCGGGAAAGATTTATTTTGACCACACTTTGTGTTTAGTAGAGCCAAATGACTCAAATCGTTTTGCAACCAATAGGACTTTAATACCCCTCCTCATTCCGCCTCCTGTCTGAGCCCTACGTGAGCGTGTGGCAGAATGGTGTGCTTCCCAAATAATAAGTTCCTAGAATCACCCCTACAAGTACGATGACGGGCGAACATCTGCTCACTTTCTCCAGAGAGCAGCCTAGGGCTCTTCCAAGGGAAGTGTGTGGTTGTTGGAAGGTGCTTCTGCTTGCTCTGAGGCAGAGGTTTTTGAAGTTGGGAATAGCTCCCTGCCTTCTGCCCCCACCCCAGTGGGGGTGGGGGGTGGGGGTGGCGGGCAGCCCTTAGCCACATCCTGCCCTTCAGCCGCGTGCCGGCGCGCGCTCTGCCCAAGGAGCGTTTGTGAAACGAGGAGAGACGAGCGCGCAGGCCCAGAACAAACTTTCTGCCAGTGCAACTTGGACATCCCTGGGGAGGCGGGGGACGCAGGGCTCTAACGGAGGAGGGGGCGCGAAGCGAAAGCTAAGGCGGCTACAAGCAGCGGGGCGGATCTCCGCTGGGACCAGGGTCTGAAAGGGAGCCAATCGGGCAGCCGCGGTTGCTGCCAATCACGGGGCTCTCTCCAATACCACCCGTGCCATTTCCAAAACCTCAGTCCCACTGTGCAGCTCAAATGTGGTGTTCACTCTGCCAATCGCTGGAAGACAGAGTGGGAACAGGAATACGCAGAGTTAGGAGGTCAGGACAAAGAAGTTAAAGAGTCCCTAATATATACATGTTTTGGGAGGCGGGTAGAGGGCAAAAAAAAGTCCCCCCAGTTAGGGTCTATGGGTCTGATTGTGTGGTTCTGATGGAGCTCCCTTTGAGCAAGAGGAACTCGCCAGCGCTGAGATTAGCGGATTTGGCAACGGCTCAAGCCAAGCCTCTTCAGAACATGACAGGCTTCCCGGCGCTGGCCAGCCCGCCCGCCCACTCCCAACTTCGCGCCATAGCCACGCACCTTCGCCCTCGGGACCTGGGCGCTGACCCCGGCGTGGCCAGCACTCGGCTGGGACCAGAGCACAGGGCCCAGGCGAGCGCCCTACGCCTCAGCCCTCCCTCCCAGGCGGTCCGGGCACAGCCTGAGGCTCCCGCGGTCACCAACCGCGCAGCAGCCGCCGCTGCGCACCCCGGAGCCGGCACCTATTCTGGTGGCGGGGGCTGCTGCGGTGTGCTGCCCTCAGCGCCACCGCCCCCAGCCCCTCCTCTTCCTCCCTCCCCTTCCCCTCCCCCTCCTCCTCCTGCCCTCTCGGGCTACACCACCGCCGACAGTGGCGGCGGCGGCAGCAGCGGCAAAGGCCACAGCAGGGACTTCGTCCTCCGGAGGGACCTTTCCGCCACGGCCCCCGTGGCGGCCATGCACGGGGCCCCGCTCGGAGGGGAGCAGCCGTCCGGCACCGGCTCCCCCCAGCACCCGGCCCCGCCTCCCCACTCGTCCGGCATGTTCATCTCGGCCAGCGGCACCTACGCGGGCCCGGACGGCAGCGGCGGCGGGGGTCCCGCGCTCTTTCCTGCGCTGCAAGACATGCCGGGAGCGCCCGGCAGCCACCAGCACCCGCTCAACGGCCAGATGCGCCTGGGGTTGGCGGCAGCCGCGGCAGCCGCGGCGGCTGAATTGTTCGGTCGCGCGGAGCCACCCTTTGCGCCGCGTTCCAGCGACGCGCACTACGGGACGGTGGCGGCCGCTGCAGCAGCTGCCCTACACGGCTACGGAGCTGTGAACTTAAACCTGAACCTGGCGGCGGCTGCAGCTGCTGCTGCGGCGGCCGGGCCCGGACCCCACCTGCAACACCACGCACCACCCTCGGCGCCACCGCCGCCGCCGGCTCCCGCGCAAGACCCGAACCAGCACCACCCCCACCTTCCTGGGGCCGCCGGGGCCTTCCTGCGCTACATGCGGCAGCCAATCAAGCAGGAGCTCATCTGCAAGTGGATCGACCCGGAGGAGCTGGCTCGGCAGCCGCAGCCACCACCGACCCCGGCCGGCGGCTCCAAGCCCTGCTCCAAAACTTTCGGCACCATGCACGAGCTAGTGAACCACGTCACTGTGGAGCACGTGGGCGGCCCGGAGCAGAGCAGCCACGTCTGCTTCTGGGAGGACTGTCCGCGCGAGGGCAAGCCCTTCAAGGCAAAATACAAGCTGATCAACCACATCCGCGTGCACACGGGCGAGAAGCCCTTTCCCTGTCCCTTCCCGGGCTGCGGCAAGGTCTTCGCGCGCTCCGAGAACCTCAAGATCCACAAGCGCACTCATACAGGTGGGTGTCTGTCCCCGGCTGCGCCGCCGCCGCCGCTTCTCTTCCTCCTCCCCCTGCTCGCCTTAATTTTCCCCTCCTGCTACTTCTCTTTGCATACGTATAACCCGGACATGTGACTTCTTTTTTTTCTCTCCCTTTTTTTTTTTTCTATGAGTAAGTAATTCGATAGCACACACAGGCCCCGCGGTGGGTTCTCACACGGTGGAGTCTCCCGCGCTCCCGCAGCCTCTCCGCTGGGACTGGCCACGCGCTCCAGCAGCCGCCGCCGCTGCGCCGGAGTAGAAGCAGCAGCAGCCGTTGCAGGAAGGCGCCCTGGACAGTCGGCAGCCCCCATCCGTCCAGCCCCGGGAATCTGGGGAGGGAGTTGGGGGAAAGGGGAATTGGAGCCGGAGCCGCCCCAGAGTTCCTCTCCACGGGTGGCAGGCCCCTCGCGTGCAAGTGGCATGTGGGATTTGCTGCGGCATTTGGGCCAGGAGGCCCAGGAGGGAAGGGGGCCCCGGAAGACCTCCCCTACACACACTTGCCCCAGTTACACACTCCCCCCCCACACACACTTTCACATGCACACACTTCACACAACCTCACACACCTGTATTTCCTCCTAAACCTGCCCCTTTCCTCTGCTGGGATACCCATATGCCCTGATACATTTTACACGTACGCCCTCATTACAGTTACTAATTTACACACCTTCATACGCACACGTGCGTCGTCACACACATTTTATCACACATGCCCTTGAAGGTACTGGGGAAATTAGCTTCTGTGCTTTCAAAGGAGGCTCTAGTTCCAGGAGTACAGGGCTAGCCGCAGAGCCTCCCATTATCTTTTGGACCTCGCCTGCCTTAGAATTTAGGGGGAGCCCCCGGCGCCGTGCGGACCCCTCCAAACCTACCCCAAGCCCTGCCTTTGGGGATGCCACGACCCTGCGTGAAGGCGGCTGCGGCGTGGGGGCGGTGGCCTGGCCCCTGTGGGTCGCGTGTTGCGTTTGAACATTGGGCAGAAAGCGCTGATGAGTGCGAGCGCAGGCGGGATTTATAGGGACAGACAATATTACCCCTCGGAGGACACTTAAGTAACTGGAGTTTACATTCAGTAATTACTTGGCTGATTTATCGGTGCGGCGGCGGCGGCTAGGAGGCAGCCGCAGGGCTCGGGCCAAGGGCGTTCGGGTGATCTGCCGGAGGAACCAGGTCTAGAGCCCTGGCCTCGCCTCGGTAGGCTGACACTTAACAGGTCTCCTACGGAACTGCAGATGATGGGCCGGGAGCACATTTTCCCGGGAGCTCCTTTTGCCTGCCGGGTTCTTTTCTAATCGGATCCGTCCACCTTAATTATTTTTCCAAAAGGAAACTTCCCAGGAGGCTCTCGTAAAATTTCTGGTCTGCTAAGCCTGCTGCCTGCTCGTGTGCTCAGTACTTACGGACGGTGTAGCTGCCAGGGACCGTGAAGGAGGCGTGCAGGGCGCGGCAGTTGAAGACGTCCTCAAGGAGAACCCCTCAAAGCTGAGCCTTGCGGCCTTGGCTCTTCCCTTCTTTCTAGGCCTCGGAGTGGGAGAGTACCTTTCCTTCGCGGGAAGGGAAGCTGTAAGGTGTCAGGGCCCTTTCCACCCCTTGAAGCAAGGAAGTGGAAGTTGACCGCGCGGAAGCTAACCTAGGTTCCTGCTCTAAGGCCCCAGCCAGGAAGGCTGCCTCCGTCCTCCCGCATATCTTACCCCCGCCAGGAGGGGGCGTGAGCGAGTGCTTAGCTTGGTGGGGTTGTGTGCCGAGACGAGACGTGGGTATCCAGGGAGACCTATGGCTGTTTATTGTTTTCTGGTTTCACGTCGTGCGCAGGGTTGCTTATGCCAGGCAGCAGTGACTGCGTAGGCCTCGCCGGATACCTCGGGGAGGGATGCGAGCACCCCACGTTCATACTCAAACCTGTGCCAGGTTTTGGCGTTCTCTGGGCCGCTTAGCAATTGTTATGTTGTGTCCAGGGAGGGATCCAGCCACTCTCCCTTTTGGAGGTTATCCGGGGTCCCAGAACATATTGATCAAAAGGAATAATCCCTGACCACTTCCGAAGGCCCATTTTTCCTGACCCATGTGCCCCCAATTCCGTTTGTAATCCTCTACTGCTTGGGGCTGGAGTCCTCCTTTCAGGAGAAGGACTTGATAGGATCTTAGAGTTACACACCCTAGCTTTCATTACTCTGCAAAACAATGTAAGTAGTTAAATTTTGATGTGACCCTTATGTTAGAGTCTGAAATGTAAACACTGGGGTCTCACCCTTTCTAGTTGGGTAGAATTTACTCACTGTCTCCTTATTTCTGAATAATGTAGGCAATTTTATCACCCCCCCTCATTTTTTCTCTACTTTTTTATCCTTAATTTTCTACCTTTCCACTGCCTGTACTGGGTCAAACTGTTTCTCTTTATCACGTGCTATGCTGGAGCCAGACATGTTCAAGCCGTTTAGTTTTCATATTGCAAGGATATATAGCTTGTACAGAAACATGAGAATACTAAAAAAAGCAAACAAACCAAAAACCCAACATTGCCCATTGGCATAAAGCGAATAAAACCACCATGTTGAAAGGGTTGATTATGATATTTTATGAAGAATGCTATATTAAATTAGTATTATCTCCAACTTAAAGTAGAATACAGAAATGAAGACAAATAACTAATGCTTTGATAAAAATTGATTATGGTAACTGTTGAAACTCATTTATAGAGAATTTTTAAAGGTTGTCATTATCATTGTGTTATGTTGTATTTTCATTTCTATAGATCAGTGTAGAAGGTATATTTGAATAATATCTAATTTTACTTTTAAACAGTATTTCCAGGTAGCATAAGATAAGTTACATTCCAGGCAGTACTTTCAGCTGTCTTTACATACTCTGTCATTGAACTAGTTATCATTGGAGAAATTAACCACAACAAAACTACACTGAAATATTTTTATTAATACTTTGTACACACTAAACTGTAAATTATCCAAAACTGATGAAATGGCACACCTTGTGTGTCATCAGAGTAGCTGTTGAAATGGGAAGAAACATAACTTTATTTGTTAAATCATTTAAATATGAGGAAAATATTAATACAGTGATATGTGTGAGATGACTTGTTCAATTATGGACTCAGGTATGTCAAGTTCCTATACCCTGAGGTGAGAAAGAAAATTTATAGTTACCTGCTGGATTCTTTTTTTTTTTTTTTTTTGCTTTTTAATACTAAGGTTGCTGAATTTTTAGTTGTCTCAATGAGCATTTCCACTTCCGTGATTAGAGGCCTTGTGTTTAAAAGTATTGTGTTCCTGGGGTTGGTTACAGCAGCTTAAAGGGGTTATGGGCCAAAAGACTGGTAAATCGTTCACCTTGTTTGACTATTAAGTAATGCAGAAAGCTGTTAGAATGTTTACTTATGACATCAGGTAAATGCCAGGCTCAGGCTGAGGCTCATGTTCTTGATTAATGCTTGTTAAGGCTCTATTTTGCTAGGCTCTTAATTGCCCTGCAAGTTGTGAGGAAAGCTGGTAGGAGGAAGAGGCCAGTGGCCATTTCTGTGCCCAGCTAGCTTGTAAAAAATCTAGTGGTCACACTTTTTCATAGGTGCCTTTATTTCTGAAGAAAATGGGATTCTGTTTTATTTCCTTTCCTTTCCCATCAGTAAAATGTTGGGGAACACCCTGAGACAAAACACCATTATAATAATTTTACTGAACCACTCCCAGTTTACTTTTAATTGGACATATGTGTTTATTTTTCTTCTTTTTCTTGTACTAAAACTATTTTTATCAGTATTTATCTTGCTAGGGGGAGCTGCTCAGAAAAAATATATGTGTATTTTTGCACATATGGAACCTGAGGGGAGTGAGGATATGGGTATTCAGGTTGTAGCTGGGTGTCGGTTTTACATTCTGGACCATGCTCTAGTCACTTTCCCCCTGACCCTATTGGTACTTACTATAGGGGTTGACATCCAGCCTCTCACAAGCCCAGTCCAAGGAGAGCCTCCAGGCCAGTGGTCGCCAGGCCCATCCTTGAAGTATTCCTTTCCTGATGCATCCTGAAAATAAGAATTACGAATGGGAATTAGGTTGGGAGTTGGTCTTCTAGAGAATGGGAAAATGCATCCTCATTTCTGCTCCAACATCCATTTTCTCTTTTGAGTGAGAAGTCTCTGAAAAGCAATTGTTAATCTTTCCTATGTTTTTTTGCAGGGGAAAAGCCTTTCAAATGCGAATTTGATGGCTGTGACAGGAAGTTTGCCAACAGCAGTGATAGAAAGAAACATTCTCATGTCCACACCAGTGACAAGCCATATTACTGCAAGATTCGTGGCTGCGACAAATCTTATACTCACCCAAGCTCTCTGAGGAAGCACATGAAGATTCATTGCAAGTCCCCACCACCTTCTCCAGGAGCCCTTGGTTATTCATCAATGGGGCCTCCAGTGGGTGCTCCCTTGTCCCCTGTGCTGGACCCAACCAGGAATCACTCTAGCACTCTCTCCCCTCAGGTGACCAACCTCAATGAGTGGTATGTTTGCCAGGCCAGTGGAGCCCCCAGCCACCTCCACACACCTTCTAGCAACGGAACCTCTTCTGAGTCTGAAGATGAGGAGCTGTGCAGGAACTCTGAAGTAGTGCGGACGATACATTAGAATTTATTAGTAATAATAACAAGTAAAATAATAAGTGGGAGTCCTTGGACCATATCCTAACCTGAGACAATGCCGAGCCTGAGAAAATCCATGACTCAGACTTGCCACCAAGTCTAATTAGCCTTATTTATTTAGTATAAAACCCCATGGTGTTTTTACATTTAGTTAATTTAATTAAGATATTTGGGCTTTTTCCCCCTAACAAACAAACAAAACTAACCAAGCTGGACTTACACATTGCAGAGGGACAGGGCTGGGAGCACAATGTACCAAGAAAAATAGGTGAAGAGATCAATTAATCAAGAGACACACTGCCAATGCAATATATATTTTTTCAAAGGTGAGAGAAAGAACACTAAGTCAACTCAACACAGCAACAAGGCCCTCTGCATTTCCTAGAGTGCCTTGCAAATGCCTTTGACACCGTAATGTGGGCTTCTTTGGAGCCTCTTAGTTGCTTCCTTGAGTCCTAATTCTGTGAAGTCCTCTTGATTGTAAACCATACACTTGCTGCGTTGCCAACAGATCTTGGGCTCTACCTGTGTCTAAAAATACTTGTCATTTCATTTCCACTTTTATTATTGATAACATCTAAACAGTATTTTTATACAGGATTATTTAGTACCCTGCTTGTATGATTAAAAAAAAAGATGCAGCAACCTTAATACATCTCCATTGTGCTACTGTGATTGTTCAAACAAAAGTGGAGATAAGAAAAAGCTGCTGCAATAGACAACTGTGAAACTGTGATATTTTATAAAATAGAAGAAATTCAAGTGCTTGCTTTTTCCTGTTTGTTTTTTAATCTGAAATTTCGGATGCTGCCGCTTTACTATGTTCAAACTTTTTGTGTAATAAAGAGATTATAGTTTAGATCATAAGTTCTTTGGGATGCCGAAATTAACAGGCAGGTCTAAGGAGGAGTATGTTGGCAATATGCCTATTTGTTTTGAAAACTTGTTTTAAAAATAGGCCAATTCCTCTTTTATACTCTTATATCAGCCTTTTAAAAAGCCTTTATTTTTTGATGACTGAAAGTACATTTTAATGCATTTTCTTTCCCCTGAGCACTGAACACACCAAACTCTATCCCATTTGAAAATTATAGTGTGTGAAGTGTATGATTTACATTAAAAGAGGGGAGGGAATTGCTACACATATTTTAATTTTTTAAACATTTATACTTACCACCAAACATTGATGAATGTTTGACCTTTGCCAGAGCTGTCAAGCTAGGATAAAAAAAGGTCAAGGACCTAGGACAATAACTCTTAATCAATTTATTTTCAATTGGTACAGCACATCTCATGTGCAAAATGCAGTCTATCATAAACATACAAATATACTAAAGAGCACTAATTTATACTCAAAGACCTTGAAGACACCCCCTCCCTAGGGTGTGTAGTAACGTGTTTTGTGTATTGTGAGTGGTTGATGTAGTCTTATCATTGTTAATGACTTTTATGTGAACACTATTTGTACAGTTGAATTAATTTATTTTCAGACATCCTTTTTTTTTCCTTTTCTGGAAGAGTTCAAAGCACACCAAAGAATTATATTATACATTTTGGTGAAAGATTGTTGTTTATGACTCATGGTTTATTTAAAAAAAAAGGAAAGAAAATGGAAAAAATATATTTTTTAACTTACTTGAATGAACAATGTAATGTGAAAACCAGGACTCTTCCTGCATGTCTTTTTTGCATTGTGTTGAGATTATATATAGTTTATAGATATATTACTAGTGCAGTGCATGGTGCTGTCACTTTGAAAGCCTTTCAATGTTGTCTTCAAATTGTTGTGAATATGAAACCTGCAGACCCTCCTTTATAAAGAAAAAGACCATAAAACTTGAATATAAAATAACTGTACATTTAAAAGTTTATTTGATTTTCATAGTATTCACTTTCAAAGCTCTTTCAAATAGACAAAAAAGTATGAACTTCGGGAGGATAATTTATGTATTGTAAACTTATTAGAACAAAATATTCCTGATTTGTATTGAGTTGTTTTATTTATACAGCTTTTTCAATGGTAGTTTGCACTATTCTTTATTATGCTACAGGTTTATTTATTATGAAACAAAGGAATATGTATTTTATGTATTTTGCCATACATAGGTTAATTCTGCCACAGATTTATTGGTTCCTGATACACCTAAAATTTTAAAAACCTTCAAATGTGTACCTTTAATAGAAAGCAAGAATGGTTACAAAGTAAAAAATTTAATAAAGGTATTCTTCCTGTGTATTGCTTGTGCTTTACATAATGGGATATTTCTGCCATTCTTTTCCAAACAGAATGGGTTGCTGACATAATGAACACTAGGTTCTCTTTCCTTGACCTCTTTATTTCTTAGCCTTTCTCCAACCCATAAAATATTTTTACAGCTTGGTTTAATTTAAATCTAATCTATAAAATAAAATATATCCATGAAGACTAAACTCTGAAGGTTAACATTAGCAAATCTTAGATGTTACCACACTCCTTTGTTAAAATTAACATCCTTAGCAGTCCTATTCAGTGAAAAGCGAATTTTAACATTTCTTTTGGTGCCTAGCTTCTAAAGTATAAATAAAAAGGAATGAGAAAAAGATTGAGGGAGGGACGGGGGAGGTTGCTTCCAGATCCACAAGCAAAAACAGGACCTGAGGTTTGTATTGAGTTAAATATCCTGAAGTTGAGTAGTGGGCATCAAATACCTTTTACATATTATTGTGGTTTATTTGGAAGTTGAGTGGACATAAGTAGCAGCATTTTGGGGCAGGTGTTAAGGAGAAACATTTTAATGAAATATCGAAGGGGCTTAAATTAATGTAATTGGTTATCTACTGTTAACCAGGCCAAATGTTTGCCTGTTAATGTTAGCTTACAGAAAACTGATGAAAAGCAAATAGTTAAAAATAATTGGTAATAATGTCAGTAAGCAGTTCTCCAAAAGGCTATAGTGGTGTTGAAAAGTCAGGTTTATTAAATGTTGTAAAGGTGAAAACAGGTTGCAAAGTGTTGTTTTAAGCCAGGTAACAATAACCAGCACACGAGGGAGAAAAACACTCATAAATGAGGGCCTAAATCAATGGGAAAACTTATAGCTCTCTAATGAAGTTTCTTGTGAAAAGAAGGGTGACATAAAGCCACCAAGACATGAATCATTCATGGGAAATATAAAAGATAAAAAGATCTGACAATGAGCAGAACCTTGTATAGAGTGTATAAAACAAGTTTTCCCTTTTTATTTTCTGCTTTAAAACATGCTATCTCTCACTCCCAGCTTTCTCTGTCCAGTCTATAGAGTTAAAGTTGACCACTGCTTATCCTGCGCCACTTCAAAGTAATTTAGTCCAGAATGGAAGGCTTGGCGCTCGGACAATCTTCATGGTGTGTTAAGATTTCTATGGCAATTGGCAAGCAAGACGTTCCCATCTGAATATGTTTCAAAGAAAGCCACTTATCGACACTAAGTTGGCTATCATCAAAGACTTCATCTTTCCTCAGCAAGATGTGTCCCTCGCAAACACTGTTTAAATGATCTACCTTTGTTTTCCAGGCTAGGACAATTTTCAAACACGTGATTATTTGAATATATATATATATTCCCCATTCAGGATGTTCTTTGGTAAAGATAATTCTCCTAAAACCTAAAGGACAAAGAGCTTTGGGGTGGGAATAATATTCTTGTAAGGAATTGGAGATGGCCACACAAGAAGGATAGCACTGGGGACAGCAAAAGAAGAGGCTCAAATTTCTGGAAAGCTAGGCCCAACTATAGTACATATCGTATTTGTGTTTCTTGCAGTCTTGTCATTTATATCTTGCATTTTGTGGAAGCTTTTGAGACAGTGGTTCATTCTGTCTGCCTATTTATCTTACCTACCTACCTATCATCTCTTTTTCTATGAAATGGCACAAGAGAAGTTCACATGAAGTATTTTTTATTCTTGTTTAGTCAGGAAATACAATTTGGGAAAGAGGGAAGGGGAGCCAATCTGGCTTCTCAAGTGATTGATTACCTTAAGACAGAGGAAAAGAAAGCTGAACACAAGAGAAACAAAACAATTCTGACACATTAATACTTCCAGCCTTCACATCACACTACCCGCTTGCTCATCTACTGCTACTCTACCATGATAGACATGGCCAGGGAAACCCAACTTTCCAGGGCTAGAGGGATGGCTAAGGAGACCCACAGTTAAACCCTCAGCCTTGGGGTTCCAGCACGCTTCCCCTTCTTGAACAAACACTCACAGAAACTGATACAGACACCCATGCGCACACATTCACACACGGCGCTGAGTGCCTAATCAGGCAGGGGAAGTTCAAAGGCGTGTTCTTTGAAATTTAAACTACTGCTTTCATGGTACATCCACAGAGAGCATAGGATTGCTATGGCAATGGACAGGGACAGGGGAGTCCCTGGCAGAGGGTCCACAGCGATTGGAGACACTCTATTAAGATACAGTTGCAGTGACCTTTACTTTGGTGCCAAGTTTGCTCAGTCAATTTTCACCTCATCAGAAATATGTTTTACATATAATATGTGTGACACATGTATGTTCCCATCTACTTTTTGTTACTATTCCTCCACAGAACCTCATAGCTTGAGAGAAAAGAGAAAGAATGAGCAGAGGAGGAAAGAAAGCCGAGTGGGGGTGGGGCTGGGTGATGTTGAAAAAGGGGGGAGAGGGCCAGGAGCGCCAGAGCCTCAGTTCCTCTTCCTTCTCTTCCCACCTAAGTACTTTTATTTGTAGAGCGATTGTTCTTTGTTTATTTAATACAAGTACTGTGTGAATAGTGAAAAATAAACACGATGAAAAATAACCAAACAGATGATTCTACAGAGTAAAAAAGCCCAGACTTAATAAAAGTGGAAGCAGTCACCGCTGAAAGAGAAACCCTTTGAAGTGGAACTTATTATAGAAGGAATACTTTGGGGTTGCCTTAACGACGCCGCTGAATCGAAAGAGCTCGCCTTTGTCAGCGATTTGTTCTCCTTTGCTGGG